GATAATTGGTTTCCATCTGCCCATTGTTCAACTCGTTCTCCATCATCATTTGTATTTTCATATCCCCATTCTGTGTGATGGCTATTGAAATCGCCAATAATTATTTTTATTCTTGAATTGTTAAAATTGTCAGGCTTATGGAAAGTAAATGGAATATTTGGTGGTTTGTATACTGATGTAACTGTGCACTTAGTTAGTTCTATCGTTAAAATTTCTATTCCTTCAACATTTATTACATCTGATGACTTTATTTCCAACAAAGGTTTAGTGAAAATAGCACTACCATGTTTGTCATGTGGTATTTCAGCTACCAATTTCATCCCTCGGATTTTTGGTTTATTCCGGTCTTTGCCTCTATGTGTTTCCTGGATACATATAATATCACATAGTGTTTCTTTACATATGTTTTCTAGAAGTATTTCTTTGTCACTAGTCAAACCCTCGATATTTATCGAGGTTATCGTCAGGGCTGGCCCTGAAAAGGGCCTTTTTGTAGTTGACTTTGAATTGGTATTTATCATGTTTGGTCTATGAGACCTGTGCCCCGTGGTGGAAAGATTAGCCGTTTAGTGATAGAATCACTAAATCGTTGCCTAGGGTGTACCGCGTAGAGGTTCTTTCCGTACACCCCATTTGATAATGAAACTGTATTAAAAGTTAGAGACCACTCGCATCTTACAGGGAAATATTTAAGGGCTTTATGTCTAAATTGTAATTTTTTGGCACATAAACCATAATTTGTACCAGTATATTTCCATAATTTGTACCAGTATATTTCCATAATTTATCGTATGACAGTCATTTTATTGTACGTACCTTAGGTTGTAATGATAATGACATACGCATTATTCCGAACTCAGATGAAAAATATTTGTCATTTAGTAAACAAATTATAGATAAATTTTATGTAAAAATTGTAGACACGTTTATGTTCATGTCAGTATCACTCTCTAATTTAGCTACCAATTTAGCTGAAGATAAAACAAGATTTCGTGAAATTATCCATCACTTTTCATTAGAAAACATTGATTTAGTTATTCGAAAAGGTGTATTTCCCTATGAGTATGTAGATAGTAACTTGAAACTAAAAGAAACAACATTACCACCTAGGAGTAAATTTTATAATTCCTTAACAGATGACCATATTTCTAAAAAAGATTATATGCATGCATGTAATGTTTGGGAGAAATTTAACATAAAAACTCTAGGTGAGTATAGTGATTTATTCTTATTAACTGACGTATTGATTCTGGCTGATGTATTTGAAAATTTTAGAGATATTTGTTTGAAAACTTTTAATTTAGATGCCTCTTATTATTTAACAGCACCTGGTTTTGCGTTTGACGCAATGTTAAGTTATACAACTCGAGAGGTTAAAACAATATCCAATGCTCCTCCTGATAGAGAATGGTATAAGAGGGGGGGGCATGTCAATCTGTAAGACGTTATGCTAGAGCCAATTTACCTGATGTGAACGGAATTAATTACAACGAAAAAAACCTCACGTTTATTTAGGGTATTTTGATTGTATTATAATATACTATTATATACCGACACCGATTCATTAATAGATCGTATTAAAACAAATAATTTTTTTGATGATTTAAAATTTGATTTATTGAATCATTTTGATACTTCTAATTTTCCAATTGATCAAATTTGTTACAGTGATAAACGTAAATACACCCCGGGGTTGTTTAAAGATGAACTTCAAAGTAAGATTATGACCGAATTTGTAACACTAAGACCTAAATTATACGCTTATACGGTAAGTGGTATTGAATACAAAAAGGTAAAAGGTGTAAAAAAGTATGTTAGAGACAAGTATATGACAGTCAATCATTATTTAGATATTTTATCAAAGTTCAGTATACAAAATTCTAAACATACGGATACATTAAATGATAAACCTAGTAAAATTATTGCATACTGTGATATTAACTTGATACAGTCAACCAAACATAATGTACATTCAAAAACAATGATAAAAATAGTATTGAGTGCAAATGATGATAAACATGTTATATTAAAAGGTCATTGTAATTTTTCAAAACCGAATACTGGTGCCATACTATGTAAAATATCAAATGTTAACTTGTTATTGAATTGTTCATTATAAACATTTATTTGCTCCATGACTCGATGCTTAATATCCTTAATTTCATAACAACCCTCTTCCAGTTTGATATAACACATCATACGATCATTATTATGATTATGGTCTACAACTTGTATAGCAAATTTATTATTATTTTTGTTTATGTACGGGAATGAATTAAATATCTGCAAACATAACAAAGCTATTTCGGAGTCTTTGTATAGGCTTATTGACGGAAAGTAATTTGTAGATAATATGGTGGTGTTCCCGGTTAAACTCAAAGTAACTGACTCATACATTCCAAAATCTGAGATATAAATTTAATCCGTGCAGAACAACTGTTAATGGCTCGTCAAAGTTGTCAATCGGAATATTATTTTGATCAACTAACTGAACAGTTATTGAATTAATATCTGTTTTGTTTAATAGTCTATAGTATATAATGTTTAACGGCGATTGAATAACCTTTGTTCCTGTTCTCCCACTAGGGAAAAACGCATATATTGAATGACTTAGAAGTTGGTTGTTGAATGATCCATGTGCTATATTGAGCATTACTTTTATAGAGTTAATTGTGTTTAAATTAAGAGCTTTTCCCGACCGATGAGCTTCGTACATTGGTTCATAGGTTCTCTTTTCAAATCCAAAAACTGATGCTATACTGTTTGGAATATTTAACTTTAGTATTCCATTGCATGTAATGTATGTTCTAAAACCGACGGGATCAATAGATACATTGAATGATAGCTGTGTTCTAAATTCATTATTAAAGTGAAATAACTCTTTCGCAATTTTGTTGTTAATATCTTCAATTTCATAACATCCTTCTTCCAAAATAAATATAAACGTTTTTAGGATAAATCTATTACTTGTTGAAGGAATTACTTCTATCTCCAACCGGTTATTAGCTGAATTTATATTTGGAAATAAATTGTGTGTTTGTAAACATAACAAAGCTATTTCAAAATCCTCGTAAACGTTTAGAGATGGAAAATAATTTGTAGATAATATAGTTGAATTTCCAGTCAAACTTAATGTAACAGATTCATACATTGTAAAAATTCAAGACATAGATGACCACAGTTAAATGTATTGAAATCTTGATAGTTAGAATAGTTATATACTATTTTAAACTCATGAAAATAATGTTACAATTCAATTGGTGGAGGTAAATTGCTAAAGCTATTAAAATATACAACTTTATCTTTATTTTTATGTAACGCTACCCAATGACTTCCATCACCTGAAGATATGTCTAAGTATACCATAATATACCACATTCAATTGCATACGGTTTCTTAGGTAAGTTATCACGTGAAAAGACTCCACGGAAATGATTGATATCTAACATTGTAACATATTTTATAATATCTTGGGATGAAAGTGGTCTGTCAGGTAGCGTGATCATGAGTTTTTTTTTTGACCCCTTATTGTATAAATATAAGCCGTTACCTTTTTTTCTTTTTGAATTTTGTATTGCATTATACACACTGCTAAAACCAGACATCAAACTACCAAGTGCTGACAATCCTGCAAATATAGGTATTAAGGGAATTACACCACCTGTCTGTCTTGGTGATGAAATCATTCTTTTACCACCATTCTTTTTCTTTATAGATCTTTTTTTTTTCGCCGCTAGTATACCATTTATTTTTTTAGTATGTTTCCGTTTACCTTTACAACCCATACCTATTTTTCTTTTAGCTTTCATTGCGTTTGTTACTGCGTATGCAACTAATTTCTCTTTTCTAGGAATATTTGTTGATTTAAATCTTTCCCAAGCTCGATTTTCTAGCACTTCAGCTTTATGTCTATCGTTTAAATTTGAACTCGATGCATACGCAATATCATGATCTATATAAGCAGTATCTAATGGGTTTATTCCTTTGTCACCGCGATCTAGTCTCTTTTTTAATTTTGTACCAAGACCGCAATACTGATAACCTGAAATATGTGCTTCAAACGGAAGACTATTTATAAGGGAGTTTACGAATCCTTTACCAGTCTTGACTGACTTACACTTGCGAGTTGAACGCGTCATCGATAACTGATTATAAATTAGAGAATTCTAGGGTATTTATAAGAAAATACTATGGATTTGATAGAGCAGAAAGATAAATTAGATATAATAAATGTAGATGTTCAGTTGGTAAAAAAACCATCGAGACATGGTTCGTTATTACCTGATACTATACGTGCTATACTAGTTGGTCCCAGTGGTTCAGGAAAAACAAATATAATGTATAATCTAATCACTCACAAAAACGGGTTAAGATTTGAAAATTTTTATTTATACTCTAAAACCTCTAATCAGGAAAAATATGTTTTATTAAAAAAAATAATAGATGATATACAAGGTGCTAATCTTTTCATATTTACAAGCGCTGATAAAGTCTTAAAACCTAACTTGACTAAGAAAAATTCAATTATAATTTTTGATGATGTAATATGCGGTCCACAATCTGTAATCAGAGATTACTTCAGCATCGGCAGGCATTCAGGTACTAGCTCTGTATTTTATTTAGCGAAAACATATTCTAAAATATCAAAACAGTTAGTAAGAGACAATTCAAACTTCCTAATAATATTGAAACAAGATGATAAAAATTTACGTCATATATTCAATGATCATTCGTCTGCAGATATAAATATCAGAGGAATTATCAGTTATACTCGTACATTCAGAACAAACATTGGATAGTGAATATAACATGCAGCTTGTTAAATTAAGCCAACTGAAACATCTACTGATATAGATATTACAGAAAGTTAAAGTTTACAGGAAAAATTAGTGTCTTGGACTCTTGAAAACAATATTACTCACAAAGCACTTTCTAATTTATTAAAAATAATTAAACCACATGTCATTGAAGATAATTTGCCCAGGGATGCCAGAACACTAATGCAGACTCTTAGAACTACCAATGTAAAAAAGGTATTTCCTGGGGAGTACTATCACTTTGGGCTTCAATGTGGTATAATTCATTTTTTAAAACAACATCCTTTATTTTGTACATCAAATTCTACTATTAGTGTAATGATAAATATAGATGGACTCCCAATAGCAAAATCGTCAAATAGTCAAGTTTGGCCAATTTTGGGATCAATTTATGAATATAATCATGTTTTTATAATGGGTATATACTTTGACAAAGAACATAAACCAGCTAGTTCTAATGAATTTTTGCATGATTTTGTTCAAGAATCTAAGTATATGACTGAAAATGGATTTGAGTTTAATGGTCACAAGTATAGATTCCATATAAAAGGAATAAGTGCTGATGCTCCGGTAAAATCATTTATGTTATGCATAAAAAGTCATGGAGGATATTCCAGCTGTACCAAATGTACAACTGAAGGTACATATATAGAACGGCGAGTTTGTTTCCATTCGGAAACGATTGTCTTGAGAACTGATTTAGATTTTGACAATTATAAAGACGAAGATTATCATATGGGAAAAAACTGCACTTACTGAAATACCGGGTTTACGTTTAGTTACTGATGTACCACTTGATTATCAACATCTTATATGTCTTGGGGTTACTAAAAAATTAATAAGTTTATGGTTATGTGATAGCCTCAAAGTTCGACTGTCTAGTAGCAAAGTTAAAATTATTTCAAATTCTATAGACAGTAATATTACACCTTTTGTACCTTTAGAATTCCAAAGAAAGCCAAGGTCTTTTAACATGTGGAAACAGTGGAAAGCTACAGAATTACGACAATTCTTATTGTATTATGGTCCAATTGTTCTATATTCAGTCGTATCTGAAGAAGTTTATATACATTTTTTGATTTTACACGTTGCTATTCGTATTTTGTGTACTAGTAAATATTCAAATGAGCCAGAGTATATAAATTATTGTCAAGATCTATTAACCAATTTTGTAAAGTCTTTCAAATTGATTTATGGTACACATCACATATCACACAATATTCATGCATTACTACATTTGGCTAAAGATGTTGAACATTATGGATCTTTGGATTTATTTTCTACTTTCAAATTTGAAAATTATATGCAGAAAATAAAAAAAATGATGAACAAAGATGATAAACCGCTACAACAAATTGTTCGAAGGATCCACGAAGCAAAATCTAATGATGTATCTCAGTGCAACTGTGATTTAAAAAAAGAAGTTATCTATTATAAGTTGCATTCAAAAGGTCCACTTATTAATGATACTAGTGATCCTCGATATCAATCATTAAAATTCAAACAATTCACACTAATTTCACAAGATTCTAAAAACCAATACTGTAGTAGTATAAATGGTGATATTGTTAAAATTTATAATATTTCGTACCATAAAAAACTACAATGTGAAGTGGTACTTGGTCGAACATTTTTAAACAAAGAAAATGTATTTACATTACTATGTTTATCTTCAAAACTAGGAATATATGAAGTTCATACACTTTCAAAACTAGCAAGTTGGCCAGTTCATCACATTGATTCAAAAATTTGTCTTTATCAAATTCCAAGAAAGAAATCTAAATATGCAGCTTTTCCTCTTCTTCATATTGACAAAGACGAAGTTCCAAAAATACAATAAATTAATACAATTATAAATAAATAAATAAATAATTATATGTAACTAATATCAATACACATTGTAATATTTAAGTCAAACTATTCTTGTTTCAGTAGTTTAATAACATAATATACAACCAATATTTTTATACAAACATGTATGTGATTAACTTTTCTTAGAAAATACATCATCGTTGAATTTAGTGATGGGCTACAAATAGTTCCAAAAAACTGGAAAATAAATGATTTAACTTTTTACTATCCTGTTGGTTTAAAGAGTTCTAAATTGTATGACAATTTGGTGTTAAAAATGGCTGATCCAAATGTAAAATGTAACAGCAATTATAAATTTGTATGGACACCACTCACAATTATTAAAATATATGGATCGGAAGGTAAGTGATCCTTGGGTACTTATACATATTTCATATATTCTATAATTTCAGATAAAACATCAATATCATTATTATTATTTAGATGATTTCATAAATGCTAAACACAAATTAAAAACGGCAGAAAATTTCACTGATATTAATACTGATGATGATGTTAAAACACAAAGACGTACTCATGCAAAAAAAAATATTCATCAAGGGACGATGAGGGATCACAATCATTTTTCGACTTGCCTTCTCAAAAAACGTATGCATCAAATCTAAAAAAGAAAAAGAATAATGAGGATAATGACAAAAAAATATTTACTCAATCAATGTTTAATTCTTTTCCAACTCTTCATAATACCATAGAGCGTGCCGATATTCTTCAGAATGGAATGTCCTCTGATTTACAAACTTCCGGTATTTATATAACTAATTAATTTTTATAAGTACAATTCATCATATTTAGTATTTTTTAACTCATACCTAGGTCTAGGTGCATTTGTTTCAAAACCAATAACTTTTCTCCGATACTGAAATTTGTTTAAATTTTAAGTAGAACTTTCAAATATAAATTATTTACTTTACCAAATTCTGATTTATTTTTATTTTGTTTTCAGAAAACCATTTATTTTCTCCTACAATACACAACACATCAGAAGATTATCAATTATCAACTTCAACTCGCGCAATAGTAATAAAAAGTCCTATTAAAACTACAAATATAACAAGTAAATTTAATATTTAAATTAATTTACTAAAATTATAAGCAAATACATATATATATATGTAATATATCAAATGCATGAGTGGTTAATGATCATTAGGTGTATAATTGTGTTTTTATAAATTGTGTTATAAGCTCATAACACAACTTAAAAAGTAGTACTAGTGCTATTAATTAAATAAAAGTATTTCATTATGTTTAGGTAAAAATTTGACCAATCATTTTTTGTCTGAAGCTATTGATACTGAATTTATTCATGAGAATGAATTTATAAGAACATCAACACAAATGGATAAAATTAAAATAACTCCTGTGAAAACTATGACTATGGGTAAGTATGCAATAATAATTTTGTTTTAATGTATCATCTTTAACAAGAATAAAATCAATGTAAATTATATTAGGTTAATAAAGTTAATAGTGATTCATATAAAATAGGAAAACATTTTGTTACTTTTAGTCACGGCAAATTACTGTTGCTTAATAAATACTTCCAATTTACACCAGGACTATGGTCTTTATTATGTGAGAAGGAACCAAAAAATACAACTATATCAGATATAGAATCTTATTACAATATTTTGAAAACTACTGGAGTCCATTTAAAACCTAGAACCTCGAGGTACCATAAATGGGCGACTGTTGTAAAACCACTGTATGATCGAATGAAAATGGAGGAAAAACAGTTTAACTAAGAAATAAGTAAAATTAATGAGAATACAACTCCTCGAATTAATTTAAAATCATTTAACAATCATTTATATAGTTCAAGCGCTAAACGCAGAAAAATAACACAAGAATTTGAACCATTTGATTTTAATCCAGAAGCAAACAGTTCCATGTCTACAAATCCCGTAGTTGAAAAGATGTTTAATTTTACTTCATCACCAAAGACTAAGAAAGGTTCTGGTTTATATAAAGATGTCTTACCTCAAACCCAATTAGTTTATTATGACGATCCGAATGAGCTAGTAACTAGATTAAATCTTTTGACATCATCACAAAGTGTTGGTAATACTGGTGTGAATAATGAAATAATATCTATTTTAGAAGAACTACGTGAGAGAAATATTATAGTATAATGACTACCTTAGAGAGTATAGCTAATGAGTTACATCGGCCAGTGAGAAAAATATTTCCTAGACGCAGTGTAGTAACGCGGTTTATTGATGACCTCTGGCAAGCTGATTTGATGGACATGCAATCTCATTGTAGAGAAAATTATGGTTTTAAGTATATTTTAGTTGTCATAGATACATATAGTAAGTACGTATGACTCGAGGCGTTGAAAAATAAAACATCGAAAGAATGTACAAAAGGTATGTTTAATATATTGAAAAAAGCTCATCCGAAATTATTACAGACAGATAATGGTACAGAATTTTACAATGCTCAATTTCAAGATTTAATGAAAAAATACAAAATTAAACATTACAGTTCATACAGTGTTATTAAATGCTCAATCGCGGATTCAAAGTCTTAAAAATAATATATATAGACATTTTACTGCTACTGGTATATGGAATTGGTATAATACACTATCAAAAATTACACAAAATTATAATAATACAAAACATAGAACAATCAAATGTACACCGAATGAAGCTCGAATGGATATAAACAATATTAAATTTAATACACAAATAAATGATACATTATATAATCCAAAATTTAAAGTTAATGACAAAGTAAGAATATCTAAGAATAAACATATATTTAGTAAAGGATATACACCAAATTGGACAACGAAAATATTTAGTTTCAAAAGTTTTACAGACAAATCCAGTAACTTATCAACTAAAGGATGAATCAGACAATATAATCTTGGGTGGTTTTTATGAACAGGAAGTTAAATTAACTGATTTTAAAAACACCTTTCTCACTGAACGTATTGTAAAAAAAGTTGGGAATAAAATGCTTGTTAAATGGTTAGGTTTTGATTCAAGTCAAAATTCATGGATAGCATCCTTAGATATTTTAAAATAAAGATTTTTTATGTATAATATGTAATACTTTTATAATAAAATATTTTTTCATTGAAGTCAAAATTAATTATTACACAATGTTATGATCTCCTAATCCTCAATAGCCAGTTTCAAAAAAAAACATGATGTATCCACAATCGATATAAAAAGCATCATCTAGCGGAAAAATTAATCAATGAAAATAAATAATACTTCTATATTTTTATCTTATAATTTTATTATAGGTAGTATTTATTTTATCTTTAACAATTATTTAATAAAAAAGTTTATATTCAACTTGTATAGTATAGAATCTATATTCTTAATCAAAAATGTTTTATAGCATTTTTTTAAATTTTCAATTTCAATTAATTCTATTGATTCTGATGGTTGACGGTTTGAAATAATTTTCCCCATTCTTTCCGTAATACAACTGTAAAACATAAAATATATAAGTGGTAGTGTTATAAATTATTATAATATCATATCGAACAACTCTATTTCAATTTTATAGTTTTTTTTCTTATTTAATAATATTCTTCTTTAATATAGTATGTGGTAATAATATAGTATTAATTAATATTTTTTTTTATTAAGGGGTCTCTATAGACAACTTCTTATAATACATCCGTTAGTATAATATTTATTCTGTTTTTAGCTAAATGTAATCTTTACACGTTTTTATTATTATTATTATTTTGTATAGTTTAGCTAACCAGTCATCAAATATGTTATTAACATATTATTTAATTAAGGTTTCTTAAGTTATAAAACTTAAAATATTGATAATAATAATCAGTCAAAGTGACTATGTTCTTTTAGTATGTTTTCATTTTTTCTTTTCATTTTTAACTTTGTAAGGTTTTGGGCTAT